CCCGCCGGCTCCCAGCCGCTGCCCGCGCCGACATCCTCCCACTCCTCCTCGTCCTCCTCCCCCTCCGCCGCCAGCTCTGCAGCTGCAGTTGCTCCGCCGATCGCGCCTCCACCGCCGGAGTCGTGGCCGTTGGCGCCGCCCGCGCTCTCCAGGCTGAGAGCGATCGCGCGCATCAGGTCCGCATCCTCCGCCTCGTCCCCCTCGTCCGCCGCCCCGCGCCCGCCCGCCGCCGCGCCCCCGCGGCCCGAACGCGCCCCGCCCTGCTTCACAGGCGACCGCCCGGCGACGAGCGCCGCGGCCGGCGCCGCGCCGCGCGCGACGGCGGCGGCGGGCGCGCCGGCTTGCTCCGCGGCCGCCCAGTCGCCGAGCTTGCGGCCCATCCTGAAGCCGTGAGAAGTGGACCAGAACCTGTGGCGCTGCATCATCCGCTGCCTCCACTGCGGCAGCTGCCCCTCGACGCCCGCGCCGCCGCTGCCGGCGCCGCCGGCGCCGGAAGCGCCGCCGGGCGCGACCTCCTCCCACTCCTCCTCCTCGTCCTTGCCACCCGGCCCCGCGGCCGCCGCCTGCTCGATGCTTCGAAGTTTCGTCTCTAAAACACCGCCACCGCCGCCGCCGCCGCCGACGTTCATGGCTGCTGGGACCTGGCGCCCGCCGAGGGGCGCGCCAGCCCCTCGTTGCCGGCCCTCGTCGCCGCTGACGTCGCTGCCGTCGCCGCTGCCAAACAAGGCTGCGTCCTCGGGGTCAATCTCCATCGCCTCACCATCCGACGATGATGCCGCGCCCATCGGCAGCACGACCTCAATCCGTACCGCCTCGCCGCCGCTGCCGCCCCCACCGCCCGGGCCGTCGCTGCTGCGGCGGCGCGCGGCGCCCGGCGGCGTGTCTGCAAAGCCATCGGCATCGGCGGGCGCGGGGCCGTCGATCACCTCCTCTTTCACGACCACCGCGGCGTGCGTCGGCGCCGGAAGCTGCTGCGTGGCGGGCCCAAGCCACCCCGCGGGCGCCGGAAACAGGCCGCCGACGCCGCCACCGCGAACCCCGTCCTTCTCCTCGGATCCCTCCCTCTCGCGGCCGCCGTCGGCGCCGTCGCCGGCGTGCCCGCCGCCCCCTGCCTCCCCGCCGTCTGCGAGCGCGAGGAGGTCAGCCTCTTTCCGCCTCAGCTGCTCGTGCTCGCGGAACACCGACTGGAAGGCGGCCAGCCGCACCTGGCCTATTACGGCCGGCAGGCGCGCCGCGGGGCCCCCGACGCGCCGCTCGCTGAGGGCTCCGCTCGCCTCCAGCTCCGCCAGCTGGCTCGACCCCGCCTTGCGGCGCCGGCGGCCCCCGCCGCCGCCGCCGCCGTCGCGGTCGGCGGCATCGACCAGGAAGCTGGCGCCGGCGCCGCTGAAGCCGCCACGGCCGGCGAAGCCGCGGCCGCGCCCGCGGGCG